AGACTTGTAAGATAGAACTGGGATCATGATAGTGGGGGGGGGGGAGCATTAAAGGACTAGAGGAATGTTGTTTCTTCGGTGCTATACTGCATCCTGGATGGCTTGTCCCTTCCTTTTGACCCTTCTGTGAGGGGTTGTCCAGTTTTCTACAGATGGGCTTTGGGTCTACATTCTGACCCCCATTATTTGCATCAAAATGGTTGTTTTGGGTCTTCTGATGCGTGATACCTGATCCTCTCGACATCTCATGTTCACATGGTTTGGTGTGCTTCTTCCATGTGGGCTTCATTACTTCCCTGCTAGATGGCCACTTGTTTTATCTTCAAGCCTTTAAGACCCGAAATGCTATAACTTCTAATACCTGGGCACCATCAGCTTTCTTCACCACCTTATCTTATGCACCCATTTTGTCTTTAGCGATCATATCAGGAAGGTAAGCATCACAGAATGCCGAGTTATTAGAACGAAGTGTTCTTGCATTGAGGGAGGACTTGAGCGGAAGCCCAATGTCCATCTGCTACCTTAATACTTAACCTACAAATATATGTCCATAGACCTATATCCCTATCATTATATATTAATATATTTACAAATGTACATGCCTATGCTTATCTCTCTATGCCTTCTGCCTCGTAGTTCTGTCCGCTATTTCCTTTTACTTGCCTCCTGTCCCACTATCCTGTTCGACTTTCATTCAGCTCTGTACTTTGTCTCGGCTATATTGCACCTGATCGAACCCCACCAGGCATTCTATGCCCTTCTCACCATCGATTTTAGAAATCTTCTTGTTCCCTTGTCCCTGGGTTTGTTGGCTCGCCCCTCCCTTTCCCCCTCCTCCACTCCCCTGTCCCCCTGGAACCGTCAGTCCCATTGTTTCCTCCTCAGGATTGTTTATTCTGCCTATCTTATATAAATAGACATGTAAAGAAAAGAAAAAAAGTCTATAAATAGTTCCAGGTCTGTCTGCTTATCCTTATAAATGTTTTGTGATTGAGTCTGATGTAGTGCCAAGCCCTGGCCCCCGAGTCTGAGGGCTATTTTCAGAATTCCTTGGTGCCTTTGTTGCTTTGTTCTCCTTGCTGCTCTTTCGTGTCATGCCCTGGTGTGTGTGTGTGTGTGTGTGTTGGGGGTGGGGGGAGGGCGGTCCAGAGCGGGTCCAATTCCCGTACTGTGTCTCCGGTGCTGCCCTCTGTATTTATTCACTTCCTGTGCTGAACAAATAATCCAAGAAGCTGGACTATATGAAGAATAATTTAACCATCACGGTTGGAGGAAAGTTTATTAACAACCTATGATATGCAAATGCTACAACTTTGCTTGCTAAAATCCTAGAGGACTTGAAGCACTTTGCTGATGAAGACCGAAGACTGCAGCCTGCAGGCTGGCTTATAGCTCAATTGAAAAGAAAATCAAGATCCTTACCATTGGACCAATAGACAGCATCATGATAAAAGGAGAAAGTAAGTTTTCAAGGATTTCATCTTGCTTGAATCTACCATCAGTGCTCATGAAGTAGCAGTCAAAAAATTCCATACACTTTAGCAATACTCCTCAAAAAGAGTCATAACATAAGCAGACATATGCAACCCATGTTCATGGCAGCACTGTTCACAATGGTAAACGGATGGAAACAACCTAAATGCCCATCGGTAGAAGAATGAATGAAGAAACTCTGGCAGATACATACAATGGAATCCCATGCATTATTATCAAACGATGAACGCACAAAACCCACGATGGCACGGACAGGCTTGGAGAATAGTGTGCTGAGTGAAATTAGCCAATCACAAAAGGGCAAATATAAAAGAAGACCAATGTTATAGGGGACAAAACAAGGTATAGATTTTCATACTTAAAAAAAAACAGCCATTGGAGTTTGCCAAGGCAGCGAGGATAAGGGAGAGAAGATAAAGTTAGACTGCTGACAGGAGCTAACGGGTGAAATAGAAGATAGTAGTCCACACGAGGAAGAAGCAAAATTGGGGAGCAGGTGAGAGGTAAACTATTGAGCAATTTGATGAGTGGTTTAAACTGTTGAATACCAAGTTGATGATCTGAAATGTAAGCCCCCACCTACTTTTCAATAATGAAAAAAATAAGTCAGACCCTCAGGACTAGATAGTAACTGTCCAATTAGTTTTCTTATCTCCAAATGAGACTCTCTGAAGGCTACTTCATCTTTAATGTCTGTTAACACTGGTTGCTCTAAAGTGCAGCACTTTCCTCCACAGGAAATAAGTTATAATCCGTTGGGGAGGGGGCGAGCTTTAGTGTTCCTAGTGATGCCCTCTCCACCCCCATCGAGACAAGCACACTGTGGCTCCTAGTTTAAAAAAAGAAATTAAATGACGCATTGCTTTGGGCAAATCTGCATCTGTCCATCTCTGTGGCATAAATACTCCTATTATGACAACTTTTAAACTATCAACATGTCACAGAATGGGGAGCTGGGAAGAGACATGTATAAGAACTGCTGGGTGCCAGTACTCGCCTACTTTGAGCTCTAAGTTTGGTTAGCAAATGTGGGTAAAGGGCTTCCCAGGAAGGGGGTGGAGAGGGCATCACTAGGAACACTAAAGCTCGCCCCCTCCCCATTTAGATCAATATGGGTATATATAGCTTTTAGTCAACGGATTATAACTTATTGCCGTTTTTTCTTTTAAAAATTATTAATTGGGAGTTAATACATATATCATTCTATAGTTTAAACATGTGCAGCAGAATTGTACATTTGCTACCACAATTTCCAAACATCCTTTTTCTCCATGGGCTCCTTGACATCATCTCCCCTTTACCCCACCACTGCCCCTGTACAACCCTTATTGTATTTGCTGTCTCTCTAGCTTCACCTTGAATCCTAGGTTTCATTTACTGAAAACCAGAAAAACCTATACCACAACTTTAAGAGGGTAACCCCCAATGACCTAGCAACTCTGTGATACACCCTAATATGAACAAACAAAAACCAGACAAAAAAAGAGTGAAGACAGGTTTGCCAGACTAATACATATTTTAATACAGCATATAGGGAATTGGTGTAATAAGATCTTATTTGTCTGCCTATCAACAGTTCACCAAATTTGGAACAGTTGTCTTCTGCTTCCTCAGACACCATGTATTTCCCAACTTAAGTCCTCAAGTTACAGGTGTGTCTGAAGAAAAGTCCAGTCCGCCTAGTGGAGTTCCTACAAAGGAACTGACGCACTCTGGAATAAGTTGTACACCTTGAAGATCCAGGGCTGCATCCCAGTGCACCTCGGCACCAGCCTGGCTCCCCAGGATGCACTTAGAAGCCATGGTCAATGTTATCCATGCACTCCCCACCAAGTGTCCCCCAAAGTATTTTCAGTCATTCTTCAACACAAATGAAAGGGAGAGAGGACCATTACTTATTTTGATGATCAAATTGTCCCGTATTTGGCTGGTGGATACCCCTTTAAGCTGGCTATTATTTGATATGCCTATATCATTCTTTGAGCACATTCTCGCTTTCTAGCAATACATGATATTCTGGGCTGAGCAGCTCTCCACAGTGTATTTTTTAAAAACTCATCCTGGATAGTGGTTTCAAGTAATCAGTACTTCTCAAGTCGGTAAATGGGATTCTCTGGCAGTCAGTCCATCTCAGTGAGACTGCGGAACTGGAGACCAGATTCTGGATTGTGGCGTTTTATACTTGGCTCCAGGTGCCATGTCTGAAGCAGCCTCTAACTTCCTGTATGACACCTTGCTCTACTTTCTCACCCACCATCCGGATCCATGGGTTTCACTGAGGACATGTGGAGCTATCCCCAGGAGACTCGACTGCAAAAAAGAAGGCTCATCCCAGGTTTCAGAGACCTTGCCTTGCAGTAACTTTCCTGAGAACAACATCCTCCTGGCGATTCCAAGTTTTGAAGAGTACGGAAAGGTCCTTGTAGTTAACCATTTTCAAATTCCTGCTCTCCAAGTTCACAGACCATTAGAAAATTCCATTGATGAGGCAACACACAGTGAATACACAGTAACTACTAATTTGAAGCCATAGGCAAATCAAGACCTCAGCACTTCTTAAACAGAAGGTCAAAACAGCCCAGTGAACTCCTGGGATCCCTCTTAGGATGAAGTCTCAGTGGTTCCAGAATTCCATATTTTAAATTCCTTTCCAATTCCTATTCTATAGTGCTGTACTGGTACTTAATTTATATACATTTGAGAAATATTTCTTAACATTTTCACCTGCAAGTTCGGAAATGGAAACAGAAGCAGAAAGCTGGGGAAGCATTAGGGTGGAGGGTAGGCAGGTGTTAACGTGAGTGAAGGGGAAGAGAAGATCCACCGAAAGCAAACAGGGAGGGGAGCATGCACAGGACAAGCTATTGGGAGGCTTGATAAATTGCTGAATACAAAAAACGAGGATCTGAAATATAAACCCCACTAATTTGTAATAAAAAGAAACGCAGAAATTTATAAAAATACAACTTTTAATAAACATCAGGAAGTACCATACAATTTTATCAAGGTTTTACAGTGCAGTTTACAGCAAACATACTATCCCTTATATTGTATATTTACAAGCAAAGTAAAATCAGGGTTGTTTCCCTCCTCTCTCCCATGCCTAGATAAACCAAACATTGCGTCATCATACCACATTTATGGTTATTTCCCAAGTAGAAGCTTATAAAAGCTGTTAATAGGCTTTTAACAACATAGGTAACCCCACCCTCATCACAGTGACAACCTGATGAGTTCTGAAAGTGCCTACGAAGAACTGCAAACACTTGGTTTCCTTGGATGGCTTTTTTTTTCTTCCAGGGGACATCACGAACGCAGTCCTCCACTACCACAAACCATACAGTCGAGTTTCCCACACTTGGGGAAATCGCAGGGGTCAGCACACCAGGAGTGCAATGGATAAGCCTCGCCCTGGGAAAACCACCCTCGCGACCATGGTATCTTCCCTGCCAGGCAAGTATCCTTGGATGGCTTTGAAGAATAGCTATTGATAGCAACTCAGAAATAGTAAACAAAAAAGACAGTAAGGAAAACAGCTGTTTCCTTTGCCTAGTGAATACACAATAACTACTCATTGGGAGCCATAGATTCTGAAGCCAGGAACGGTGTAACATTCATATTTATGATCCCATACACTAAAAACTCTCTAGTCTCTTTAACAGTGTTCTTGCTCTTCAACACTGCTGACACAAAGAACAGTGGTGACATTCCTGACACTCTGGGCAAAAGTTCTGAAAGAGAGAGAGGACTGAATTCAATTAGCAGAGGGGATAAGGGAATTAATATTCATCTTGAAATTTACCTGTTGCTGTTTTGGAATAATCAAGATTTAGTTACACCTGTGAAGAATTAGAAGGAATCAAAAGCTTTAACTAAAAAAGATAACCTTGCATGCTTTGTACTGATGGTCCTTGAAAATCATACAACTAGACTTATTTGTTATATATATAGGCTGGAATAATAATGAAAAAAACATTCTACATACATCCACACTAAGTACCATTCATATTCAGATTTGCAAAAGAGGCATAATAAACTGTTTCCCATGCAACTCTAGTTTTGTAAAACCTGAAGGCTAACAAAATCCTTATGAAGCATAGCACTAATATGTACCAAATTAATTAAATAAACAGCTCCAACTCATAAGGATAAAGACCCATGATTCCTGACTTTCTAAGCATTTGGTATAACATTCACATGGCTTCCTTGTGTTATCCATTAGATTAAAATCAAAACAAACTTCTCTCTCCTAAGCAAATCATATTTTCAGATGTGGAAAGGGAAAGCAACTTTTCTACAATTTTGGGCCCATTTTCATGCATCTCATAGTGTTGATACAGAATCTAAGCTAGGGATTCAATGAACTGAAGTAAACTGAACTTCTCGGGTCCAGAAGGTGGCTGGTGTACAATTAACCTGCCGGGCAGAAAGCCTCATCTTTGGGTGAAATGTATTCCTGGACCAATGACTGAGAAGTTAAAGTAAGCTGTCCAATGATGTCAGACAGTTTCTTAATTGCCAGACAACAGTATGACCTTCTATGTTAAATTTTATTAATGGGTCGGACCAGATCTTACAGTACTCATGAATCCTCTATGTTTTTGTATGTGTGTGTGTTTGTGAGTACACCATCAGGTGATTTCCGACTCAAGGTAACTCTATAGGACAGAGCATAACACTAGGCAGCAATCTCTATAGGAGCAGATTGCCCTGTCTTTTCTCCTTCAGAATCACTGGTGGGCTGGATCTTTCCATTAGCAGCTGAATGGATAAGCACAGCATCACTAAGATCCCTCCCCCTGGATCCTCTATAGCACCTAATGAAGTGTTGGGCAGAGAGAATGCTCAAAGACATCGTTAGCAGTGAGAGGAGGAACAGAATCAAATGTGTAGTGGTCCTTGCAAAGTCATACCTTACTTCATCAATCACTCAAACAAGACAGCCATCCCTGAAATTCTAATGTCATTGTCACTGAAAAAAAGGCTCCTGTCCCTTAACTCTATCTCCACAAGAGAACCAGCCATCAGGGCCCCTTTTGCTCCCTTACCTATTGAAAGATTACCTATGGACATGAGTACAGGTTTGTGAAAGAAAGTGATTTCTGCTTCAGAGGAAGCACCAACCCATCACATGGCCCACTTTAACTCCAAAAACAAAATGTATACAATCAACTTCTCATTGTCATACTTTATCCCTACCTAATAAATACTGGAAATGTTAGGCTTTTTCTATTATCATTTTAAATGCATTTTATTTTTAAACACTGACCTGAGGTAGAAGGTAAGACATTCACAAAACAGAGTAAGATTCAAAATACCTACACCTATTCAACATAATAAGAAGCCCTGGTGACGCTAGCCAGAACCAGTGTTGAACAGCTAACTGCAAGGACAGCAGTTCAAAGCCACTAGTCACTGTGCAGGAGGAAGATGAAGCTATCTGCTCCTATCAAGATTTACAGCGCAGCAAGTGGAACACAGGGTCAGCATAAACTTAATGGCAGGGGTGTGTAGAATTTTCTCAATTAGTCCCAAGAAAGATTCAAACTGACTACTGTTAAAATATAACAGTATTTGGGTCAATTTCTTAACCTATTGCCTTTCTTCTTCCAGTTTTAGATGCAAAAAAAGGGTAAATACTCTGAAATATCGATAAAGGTTGTACACAACAGCTTCTCTTGGTCAATTTACTCTAACCACATTACTCAAAACACTTCCATTGAGACATGGGTCTTTTCCATCCACTTAGGTTACTGATATGAGCAATTAAAAATCCTTCCAGTTTAAGAAGATAAAAGGAATCATTCACATTTAAAATAGGGTTTTTATAAAGACTAGCAGCACTCCATTCTACTAGGGCATACAAATTTGGCTTCACTGTCTGGCCAGGGGTAAAAGATGTACATCGGTCCAAAAAAGCTCCTTGCCGGGTGTGCACATGGAGGTTAGGCTCCAGGAGGCTTCTGCATTAGGTGCTGTGTGAAACCACCGGGATGTCGATCTCGATGGCAGAGAGGCGGGAGCGTGTGGCATAGGGCTGTGAGTAATTATGCATACCGGAAGGATGAGAATACAGTGGTTGCCAGAAAGGAGAAGGCAGGGATTTGCATACACAGTACCAAATAAACAGCAAAAAGGCAGTCATAAATAAGCCCCCTGCACTAGCAATAGTAACATAGACCGCGTAGTCAAACGTAAAGACTGGCTCGAACTTCTTGTTCAGATACGTATTATAAAAGATGACCCAAATGGATGGAGAGAGGCTCACGGTACCTGCAAAAAAAAACAGCAGCCCGGCCACCAGGTGGCAGCCTGCACTATTGACCAGACACTTGGCCAGTTTGATGTTGGGCACCGAGGACCTGAAGGCTGTGTTACACATTCCAATCAGGCACAGCAGCAAGGCCCCCACTGCGATCAGGATGCTGAGGGGCAGGGCAAACTGGAGGACGCGCAGGTCCAGCTGGTCAACTGAGGAGTACCATGTAGCGTCGTACATCAGGCAGTCGCTGCTTCCATCATAGCGGGCACATTTCACCCACAGGCCTGTGTAAACAGTCAGGTTCTTCTCATTTCTGTTGAACGTGATAAGTCTTAACTTTCTCCAGTTGGGAAGCAGAGTGCCTGCAAAGAGGCCTGCCACAGAGGCGATGCCACACAGGAAGGAGAGGACTGTAGCTGCGTGAACATCCCGACAGCCCATGGCAGGCAGGCGTGCACAGCCCTGTCAGTCAGACTAGGAGGTGACACACAAGAGGACACATGGTGAGGCGTCAGCAGGATAGGGCAGCAGGAAGGCTTGGCTCCATTAGCAACACAACTAATAATGAAATCTCCACTCAAAGAGGAATACTTTGTCCCTTGATTTCTCTCAATGCACAATATCAGTGCAAATAACAGGTTGTGTGTGAGTTCAGAGCCCTACCACCAACTGGCTCACATGGCAAGAAAGACTTAAGCTGTTTAATTTGCACAGCTAATAAGAGGGACATTCAAAACAAGTTCAAATTCTCTTTAGGAAGGCATCTAAATTTCTCTTGGTTGTAATAACCAATCATTCACTACGCACAAAATTTATTCTGTGTCAGACAATCAAATATGGAGCATGCGTCCGTGCACTCATCAATCATCAAGCAAACAGTCAATTGTGCTACAAACGTAAAAATGAAACTAGCATACAACAAAAACACGAAGGTATGGAGCAAGCAGCACGAGACAACGGCACCCTGGTGGAGGACAGGCTCTGAGCCAGACTGCTTGGTTTCCAAGCCCTATTTTCTCATTTACTAGCTGAGACACCTTTCACCTGCTATGCAACCTCTCTCTGCCAGATTCTCATCTGTAAGATACAGTGCTGATCTCACCACACTGTTTACAGAACTAATGAACACTACTGGCACATTATAAGTATCATGCAAGCGTTAATTATTTTCTTAGTACTCGGTGGCCAGCTCAGTGCCTGGCACACTGAAGAAGCTCAAGACTCATTTGTTGAATGGTAGCTGAGTAGATAAAAACAAAACTTATCTCATTCCAATAGCCCATGCATGCTGAAGAAATTCTAAAACGTAAATGGACCCATCGGCAATGAGTTAATTAAATCAAACTGGGAACAACAAGGGTCCCTGAAATTATGCTACTCAACGACGTCCTATCTCAAGATGACCTGAGTATTTTTAGGGAAATCTGTAGCACTGGATGGTTTTTATGTTATTTGTTACTCATAAGATAAATGAAATGTTTTGTAAGTAAAGACCATCTATCTACTAATGCTACTATTGTAGATGGGAAGACACCAAACTCAGAATGTAGGACTTGGGCCTTGCATCCTCCAAAATGGCTGCAATCTTTCTTTTTTTTTCTTCTTTTAAACATTTTATTAGGGGCTCATACAACTGTTATCGCAATCCATACACACATCAATTGTGTAAAGCGCATTTGTACATC